AAATGTTCATCAAGTAATTTCCCAGTGTTAGTAACTGTATTGGTACTTCATTCATCACCACACTCTTCTTGACCAAACTCCTGCAATATTGTTACCTACCCTTTGCCCAAGTTGAAATCCAAAAGGGAAACAAGATGTTGGTTCTACTACAGGCAGTGAAAAACAACACGAAACCAACTGTGCGGATGCAGGATTTAAAACTTAGTCTAGAAAATAGAATTTACTGTTTGAGTAACTTTAGACAAAATACAGAAACTCCTCCTCTCTGAGGATTTCTAAATTCCCCCTGTTCATCACTGCAACTGTATCTTCATTTTCAGTCCCTGGTCTCACATTGTTTATGTTACCTCTTCAACTACATAGGGATTCTTCTGGAAGTCTGTTCTGCTGCTGATCCTGAATCTATTACTCTAATTTTTAATCTGACCTACAAATGTTTAATCATGGAAGAAATTCTTTTTTAGCATATAGTTCCATGGGACTTTTTGTATGGGTAAGGATCATTCACATGAATTAGTGGATGCAGGATTGTGTCCCTATGCAAGTGAGTGCACACAGAGACTCTAATAAAATCTGTAAGAGACTCCGGGGATTTAAGAAGCACAAAAATGTGGAGACAAAGATGGAAAGACAAACAAAAATGCGGAAAGGGAGATTAAAGGATGCAAGCCCCTGAGGATTATGGGCTGGCTGCCCAGCACCTCCTCTGAGACCACTGCAAAAGGAGTATACAGCAAATATGCTTGCGTGTTTCTGTAAGGAAACAAATCGTAGGATGGTGCCAACGCATGCTGGGTGAAATTCCCATTGAGTTAAGTGGGATTCATACTGTGTCCCCTAAAGTTCATCCTGACTGAAGAGAGAAATATGTGAGAAATATCTTAGGTTATCTTCCCAAGTACTGCACCAAACTAGGGCGTGCTCAGTACTTGGAGACCCTGGCTGCCTGGGAAGACACAAGTGTTGGAAATAAACTCAGGTCCTACTTCCATAGGACGTGGCATTTCTGTTAAACAAACACGCCAAGGAAAAGGACACGCAGCTTTCTGAACACATTGGTTTGGTTATGCAGTTTTCATACACTGTGCTTGTCTACTTTACAAGTGGGTTTGGAAGAAAAAGAAGATAAAACCGCTGCATATCTATTAAAAGACCTTTAAACAGTTCATTTCCTGTCATTTCTGCTACCAGGACCATTTTAATCTTTGAAACCCTGTTGCGTAAGAAAAGAATCAGATGCTAAGTGTCCACTCTCCCTGCTTCCAAGGAAGAAACAAAAGAATTCCATTCCTGGAAAAAATAACTTTTCATTTAGATTTAAATAAGGGATTAAAAAAAAAATCATGGAACTTTATACTGAAAAAGAATTATTAAGTTGTAATCAACTCCTCTTTGCAGCATGTGTGAATGTTAGATTTTGCTGTCTATGACACTTTCCCAGGACATTTTGGAGAGGAGATGACGCATCTCCAGATGTCTTCCAGGAAATTTCTTTTAAAATAAATAAAGCAAAAAATAGCTAACTGGTTCCAGTCACTGCAAGGCTACAGCTACTGCTGGAATCCCCTATTAGGGAACTAGAAAAAGGTTCCTCTTTCAATTTTGTGGAGTTTTGGGGTTTGAGGTTTTTTTGCTTTACATATCAGTTTTAGTGTTATTCTGAACATATATCTGAAAGGCAGGAATTCTGCTTCAGCTTACTGATTTTCTGCCCTTCAGTATTCTCTGCCTCAAACAAACTTTTCCTCCCCTAGTGTATTACTTTACACACAGCGAGAACAGCAGAGCACTTCTTCCAAAGGTAGCTTCAAAACCACTCTCCAGCTCTGCCAGAAAAACATGCAAGTACACGTTTCTGGGTATCTTTTCCCCATCTCTGGTCAGATCAGGACACATTGCCATATCACAGTCATCACATTATACTGTATTTTAAGTCAAGCTATTTATTTAATCAAAGAATCATAAAATGTTATTGAAGTGAAGATTAAATTCACCGAAAAACACATTTTGGGCAGATCTGAAACTATTAATAAATTCTAAAAAAACAAGTATTTGTAGTTAAAAATGAAAATATGGAGAAAATTTTAGAAAAGTTCAGATGCTTCATTTTGATAACCTCAAAGCAAAATATTTTGTTTAGTAAAAATATTTTGTTTCACGCTTTTAAAATATATTTTGATTTTGCGTTGTAAAAGTTTTTTATGTAATTCCAGAACTGATCAAAGTTAAAGAGTATAGATCATCCAAAATCAGTGCAAAACAGTCACACATTTTTAATGTAATTTTAAATATGTATCTTATCCAAATCAACTTAGAATTCTGGAAAAAAACATGGCTAAATCATGAGTAAAATAGAGTTCACGGTGGTAGGGAGAGACCTTAGTATCAGATGGCTGCAGATCTCAGCTCTGTGCTGGCTCAGACCCGACAGGGTCTGGTTGGGCAGGGAGCAATCTGAAAAGCTGCACATGACCTACACACTGTCCCTTAGAAGCTGTCACTGTGTGGGAAACAGGGCTGGGACATCCAGAACAGGAGCAGGAAGACGCTGCCCCTGCACAGTCCACAAAGAGTTCACATCGTCTGCCATCGTAATTAGTCAGCAGCTCAGGTTGTGCATCTTTGCTTTGGACTCCTGAATGTTTCTGGCTGTTCTTACACTTACTGCTTTGTAAAAACCCGCTCCTTTGCACCATCAAATCAGTTAGGTTGTACTTAATTTAGCTCTGTGATTTTGGTTTTCATTTTGTTTTTATTTAACTTCTCTCAGACATACTTACCTTTGTATGTAAGAGTTATTCACTCCCCTGTGATCCAAGTCATGGCTCAGAGTTGCTATCAGCAAAGCCAGTGTTTCCAAGTCAGTCAGTTTGCTCTGTATGTAAAGAGTAAGAGAAGAAGTGAGTTAGCTTTGTGATGGGGATTTATTTTGCACAATGTGTTTTAAATCTACTATCTTGTCTTTACCCACATAGTAGATACAGTTCTGGTCCAAGGAGGACAAGGACATAAGATGGTATGCTGAGAATAAGGGTTATGTCTCAAGTTGTGGTGCACAGTAATAACCATTCTCCATAGGCCTCAGTGCAGTTTTCAGAGGGAACATCATCTTGCCCTAAATATACTGATGAGAAAACTGATACAGAAGAATAGGAAGTGACTTGCATAATGTCACCTGGCAGCAAAGAGAGAGCATGAGGAATTGTTTAAATTCTGACCCCATGACTTTTAGCTCAGCTCCTCTGTTACCTCAAGGGAGTTAGGCTACATTCCCTAAGTAGGTCTAAAAATTCATTATACAAATGTCTTTGAAATAATTAGAAAGGAAAAATGTAATAATTAGAAAGGAAAAATGTAATGCTTTTCATTGATTACTGAGGAAGTAAATTAACAGAAGTTTTAAACCCATGGGAAACAAAATGAACCGGTATCTGACTCATTACTAAAGAGTTTATTCTGGAACTCCAGTAAGGATTAGTGGAGAAGTTACAGTTTCTCTTTTGTGACTACTTTTGTGACATATCTTTAATATTGTTCAATAGAATTGGATAGGAAATTTATTTAAATCTGTCCAGTGAGAAGCAGAGGCTGGACAAAGCCACAGTATTCATGCCACATTTTGTAATGGGACAAGAATAGCAGGAACAACAGTCAGGACAGGAATTGGAAGAATTTCAATACAGCACAGACACTGGGGGGGCTGTACCCTCTGTACAATCAAATCCAAATTTTCTTTAAGCAGTTACAACGTCTGTAGACTTGCAGCTGCTTTCTAGATAACGAAACCTGTCCTTAGTCTAGTCAAAAGATAAATCAGCTTGGAAATAACCGATTTTATTTTTCTCTTAGGAAGATGTTTCCCCCAATGCTTGCTTTTCCTCTCACACTAGAGAAAATCAAGAGACTTATGTTCAATGCCATTCCAACTCCAGAATGTAGGACATGAAAATCAGTGTGCAGTGAATCCAGTGTAGTTAGGAATAAAACAATTTATGGAAATTGCAGTGGAGACTGACAGGGTTCCAAAAATAGCAAGCAAGCTCTCAGGATCATCGGAGATTGCTAGACTGACTGCACACAGAGCAAATCTACCATGTCCCTTTCAGTGCAGAAGGAATATGAAAGCCCTTGCCTTTGTCTCTTGCAGCACCTTTTGACTTTATTTTTTTTAGTGAGACAAAGTTTGTAGAGGAAGGGAATGCCTCTTCATTATTGGTATTGGGTTTTGGGCTACAAATAAGACTTATTTATTCTCTGAGAAGAGCTTTCTAACAGTCTGTAATCAAACTGAAGAAACAGTTTAATTCAGAATGAACAGAAACATTTTGTTTTCTTCAAGAATATAAAACCAAAACCTAAAAACATATTTTGCAAAAATCTTGAATCAATATCTTTTTAATTTTGGGGATCATCTCACCCTTAGGTATTTGTAATAAAGAATGATTAGGTTGCTTTTTAAATTATTATGTGTCTTTTAAGTGGAAGGTTGAAACATTGCTCAAAAGCATTGAAATGATCATTTAAATCTTTATTTCCAAAAAATGTTCTATTGTTTGTCTAATGCTGTACTCAGCTTGGTGTTTGAACTTAAAAAATTTCCTGTTGAATATTATAAGGCTACATCCTGAATAGGGTCAGTCCTTTCCTTCTCCACCTTTTTCACTCGCTTGTAGCATAAGCATTAACTTTAAAAAAGGACATAATCATATATGTGCCTTATTTGAGATATTCCCATGGGGAACATCCACCTGATCATTTCCAGAGGACTTAACTGAAACTGGGTGCCTAACAACATGACAACAATTTCACAAACCAAGCCCTTAAAGCCAGAAGTCTTCAGCAGAAATATTTTGATTTCACTAGTGATATCACAAAATGATGAACCTATTACTGACATGACAATCAAAACTATGCACCATTATAGAATTTGTTTAGCCAGAAGATTCTTAATGTAGAAACAGCAAAATGTACCTGAATTTTACCAGATTTTAAAGCAGCAAACATGCACTGCGCTGTATTAAAGGCATGTCTCCAATTGTGATAAGCAACATTTTTCCGATAATTTTTCTTTACACTTAAAATCCATCTGCAGAGAACCTTTAAGAAAGCATCACATAGTTAACTGTAAATGTATTAGAAATCTATTCTTTTTATGAAAACAAATCTCTCTGTAATCCTGCTTGAAAACTGTCTCTCTTACAGAAAAAAAAAATACCTTTTAACTCAGTTAAGTTCAAATATAACATATTTGTAACTGTGAACATAGGAAAGAATATGCTTACAGCTAGTTCAGCTGCTCACTGACTATGTAATACTTGTGAGTTTGGGTTTTTATTACTAACAGCTAAATGTTAGTGTCAGATGCACTGCTGTTAATTCAGAAACTGAGTTATGTTGAGCTCACTGGGAGAAAATAATCCTTGTTTGTAACAACATATTTGATAATTGGGGTTTTTTTTTTAATTACAGAGTTCTCTTAAGAGCTGTTTTGATAATGAACATGTGGCTTTTCCCTCATATCAGCTTGTCAAAAGACAAGGAGAATTGGACTTTGGAAAGCAAATAAGTGTGACAGAAAGACAGCAATTACTCTATAGTGCTTGGTAGTATTTTTTTTATGCAGGAAGAAAGTATGTCCTGGATGTTTTACACAACAGTATTACAAGTTGTGAGTTATACTTCACTTCTAAGAAGGTGAAAGGTACGGAGGTCAGATAGTAATTTGATGTCTACTAGGACAAGTCCCTTGGTTTAAATGGATACAGCATACTGCTCTATGTGAAATGCTGGCTGAGAATCTAGGCCTTGGTTTGTTCAAGAAAATTTTGAGTGTTCCTAGTGAAAGATGTTGTACTGACAGAAATGAAAATCCAGTATCATTCACCCACATAAACAATTCCACACAGACAAAAGCAGCAGTATTCTCTGCCTTTTCCACTGCTAGAAACAAAAGAGTGCCTGGCAGTTTTCTTTAGCTCTAGCATGGAAAGTGTAGCTTCAAAGCTGTCAATGTTCTGTTGCTTCTACTGAAATATGTAATTACTTATCTATTGTCATGGTGCTATTTTGATTTTACAAATCCATTACGATTGCTCTACTAGGAACTAGAAGCCCACTCACTCATTATTGGGCTGCCTGACTCTCTCCCTTCTGTTGGGACATATCCCTTCAGCAAGTACAAATTCTTGGCCTTACTACAAAGGTGAAACTAAGTACTGGGATATTCAAGAGGTCAAACTAGGTAATAGAGTACACCTTTTGGCCCTTAAACACTACTAATCTAAATTGGTCTATAAAGTGGTGATCTAGAAAATAAATACCTGCTTTCTTTTACTCATTGGTTTGCCTATGAATTCCTCTGCATTAATATTGCATTTTCATACAGAACTTTGGACATTCTGTTGAAAAATATATAAAGCAAAAATAACATCTTTAAAAATTAAGTTTTTTACAAATAGCAATTGTGTGTATTGACTGGAAGAGGCCTAAGAGATTATCTAGTCTACCTCCAGGGCCAAAAGCAAAATAAGAATACCTGTCTAGAGTGCCTCTGACAAATGCATATCTACAATAGATCTTTTGGTAAAAACCTTCAGGGAATTTTATGCAGCCCACTTTAGTGATCTGTTTCAGTCTTTACTATCTCCATAACTAGGAAGTTCCCCCTAATCTCTAATCTAACCTCTTGTGGGGGAAAGACTAAGCTAATTACTTTTACTACCTTATATGGACAAAAATAAAAATATTACTGTCCTCTTTATAACAGCCTTTCACGTGCTGAAAAGTTGCTGTCGTCTCCCTCTCAATATTCTGTTTTCTGGAGAAAACGAGCTCAATTAATCCAAACTTTGCTCAGTCTCCTAAATCCTTATTTTTAAAAATCAGTTTGTATCTCTGTGTGTCTCTCCAAATATAAGCTACAGTGTGATCACTCCATAGGCCTTAAATACCACTCTGTCAGTAAAGGATTAAATTGACCCTTTTTGCTACTATGCACATTATTGACTTTTACATGGTTTCTGATACTCATAGCTGTGAAACATTTTTCTCTGTTGCCACTAGCTGACTGTTTTTGTTAATCTTTATATATTTATTCTTGCTGGTTTTGAAATACTGCTATACATTTTCAAACTCATTTGAATTTTAACCAAGTCCTCTACCTCCTCAGTTTTATAAAAGCATTTTACAGTCCATTAACCAAATCATTAATCATTCAGTAGAACCAAACTGAGGACAGACCCAAGTACTGCCCATTTTATATACCTTCTTAGCTTGCTAACTGCTCTTTAATACAGATTTGCAATTATATTTACTTAGGCTTGTTTCACTATTCTCCCGATTTTCTAATAATTAAGTTGTCTCTTCATGCGAAGGAACATTTGACAGCATTCATACCTCATGTTTCATTTGGAAATTTTGCACCAGGTTGAGGTCTGTGAACATTCGAATTGTACACAAGGTTGTTTCAAAATCTGATAGCTCAAAATCACTGAAGTTGAAGTCAGTTAGGTTGAGAGACTGTGCGGATGGTACTACAGCAGCCTAGAGAAACATAAGAGAACACAACTTAGCGCTAGGAAAGAGAAAGAGTAACATAAATATCTGCCTTTTCAACAGAGAAGCAGTGGGATACGAAATTTTACCTTCACATTATACTGAAACCAGGTGATTACTTCTCATTTATCTTTCCTTAGCCTTCTTGTTTGATATATTTGCTTAGATTTAATACACACTTTTCCATAGGTGAAGACAGTAAGGAAAGGATTACCTGATCAGTCTGTTATCTAAATCACCTAAGGCAAATTGTAACTGAGTATGTATGAAACTGGGAGACTGAGAAAATCAGGCAGTGGAGTTACATGTTTGTTTTTATAGACATGCAGACATCAAAATCTACAACTCTTGACATTTTTTTCTAGAAATGGTGAGGGAAGAGATGTTAGTAGAAGAGAATTCTGCACTGGAACAGGCTGCCCAGGGAGGTTGTGGAGTCTCCTTCTCTGGAGACATTCAAAACCTGCCTGGACGCCTTCCTGTGTGATCTCATTTAGGTTCCTGCTCCGGCAGGGGGATTGGACTAGATAATCTTCTGAGGTCCCTTCCAATCCCTGACATTCTGTGATTCTGTGTAATTCCTAAGAGAATCCACATTCAGTGCTATGGTAGTCAGAACAAGTCCACAGGCAGAGCTTTCTCAGGTCTAGAAATATGAAAAATTAGAGTTCACCTATGATCAATAATCTTTAAAAAACTTTGGACAATGTTTTAGATGTAATTTGAGTACAATCATAAACCTTCAGTGTGAAATTTGAAATTATAAAGTAGACAAAAAACCTAAACTCTAAACTTTTAAAATCTGTAACTTTTATTATCGCCTAACATCTTCAGGTATTACATGTATTAGAACTCTGCTTTTTCTAGTTATAAAATCCAGAGTATAGGTATTGGTGTTGCCCTTCAAAATAAATTCTAAGAAGATACTTCCCTTACACTATAGAACAAAAATTGGTATCGTTTTTTTTCAGTAAAATAAAAGGTGCTATTTCTTTACAGTTGTTTCACCTCAATATGAGTGTGGTTTAAAAGAAAATCAGGTAAAACTGAAATGGTGAGAGAGTGTTTATCTTCTCCTTTGTAATTCTAGGGGAAAACATTTCTCCAGCATGGGGAACTGTGTCCTAGAAGGCTGAGACACTGAAAACAAAGCATGTGTCATGATCTACAGTATAATTACATGTAGCATGCAAATCAGCTCTCCTCCTAACTACATCTACCAACCTCTGTTCTATGTAAGTTTGCTGTTATCTTTCCTGTGAGTCAGAACTGGAAAGTCATGAAAGATTATGAAAAATAGTATTTACACAGGAAAAAAATGCCAACATTCTTACATATTTCTTGTACGAGTCATTTTGTGTCCCTCAGTTTGGTTTCATGTGGTATTTCACCTATGAGCATGTGAAAGAACCACGAGGCCTGTATGTTCAGTGGAAAATAATGCAACCATTCAGGAAACCTAATGACATAACTCAGAAAAACTGCAACTGCAGGATGGTATTTCATGAGGAAAGGGGCTGGAAGGACACAGTAGGAGCTCAACAGAACACCTCATGCCTGTTTTCTGACTTCATTCATAATTTAGCTTTCCCTTCCTTGATCTCCTGCCTTTGACAGCCACAACATTAAGTTTCATTTCAGCTGAGACATTAAAAACTGCACTCTATAGCTATTCAGCTGTTATTTAACTGGATTAGATATTTCCTTTTTCACTTACTGAAGCCAGTAGAGCTCTCTGCCCCTCATTTCACAGCATGAAAGTTCATCAGCTATTTTAATCTCAAATTATTGAGCTATGGTCATCTTATGTAAGCACTGACAAACTACAACCCTCCCTTGCTCAATCTCTCCACCTCAGGAATATTATAAAGAGCATGAAATAGTCAAGAAAATAAGAAAATGTGCCAATTAATTCCCCTTTTTGCATAACTGTGACTTTTTAATTACTATTGCTTACTATAGGCATTGTATTAATAGTAATTAGTAGTGAATAATTAGTGACTGGTAAAAGACCAGTGCAGATAAACAGGGAATTCCTGAGTGAGCTCAAATGAAAAAATGAAGTGCACAGAAGAGGGAAGTGGGGATGGGGTACCTGGAAAGAATATAGAGACATTACCAAAGTGTGCAGGGATGAAGATGGGAAAACCAAAACTCAGCTTGAGTTGGAACTAGTGAGGGACAGGAAGGGCCAACAAAACTGGTTTCTATAAATACAATGTCAGCAAAAGGAAGGCTAAGGAAAATGTGAGACCTCTGTGGTAACTGAATGGCAACTATAAACAGTTTTGCTTTGTTTGATTTGCTTTGTGTGATAAAACACAGGTTGCAGACAGTATCCAGACTCAAAGGAGGTGACTGATGCAATATGACATTCTGTAGAAGGTGGAAATGATGATGAAAGTGAAAAATCTGACTGCAGCGTATTACACAAGGCAGATAAGGAATAGAATGGAATGGAATAGAATAGAATAGAATAGAATAGAATAGAATAGAATAGAATAGAATAGAATAGTTCCAGTTGGAAGGGACCTACAATGATCATCTAGTCCAACTAACTGCCTGATGAAACATTATTTTCTGTGCTATCAGATTATTTAGAATCAAAACAAAGCAAATAACCAATAGGCATATCCAGAAACATAATTTTAATCAGTTTTGGCTGGGTGGATACAATGATATGAGTGCAGCATAAAAATTAATAAAATTCTGAAGCCATTCACCAGCTGACCATCAGTAGTGGAACAACAGCTGTAATATGCAATGTGTTAGCTTTAGCCACCAGGCTAATGTTAGTCCACTAGTCCAGTTTATAGACAGTGACTTGCTACATCATTGTAATTTAGGCACCTGGATTGCACCTCCACACATGACATCGAAGTTGTACAATCTGAAACCTGGAATAAACTATGAGTAACATCTGTCTATCTCTTCAGGCAAGGTGGTTGTATTAGGTAGTGGTTCCACCTGCTGATTTCAACACTGAAGTCTTTCTTTGATGTGTTAATGGGGAGGTAGTCAACACAAAGGTATCCCAGTAATGTGGTAGAGGTTATTCTTAATGAGGGGAAAATACTGGCACAAGTACTTCACAGAAGTTTTTGGCAAGTCTTTGTCAGCACACCAAAAATGAAAAAAGTTCTCTACACCTTGCTGACAGTTTAAGGTAGATGGCAAGGAAAGAATCATTTGCATAAGAAAGGAACTGTCCCACTTACATATTTCCCTGAATCGGTACTTAAAATAATCACTTGCTCAGAGCTGCTTTCTGGAATCACCTGTCTCTCTCCCACAGCTGAGAGGACAAGCTAAGGAAGTAAGTTAGCTTTCTCCACTTGGGTAGCAGGTACTCCCTTTGTCACTACTTACCCAGGATTTAGGCTAAGACTAGGAACAGGAGTACAGATATCTTTAACATGAATGACTTGATCTCGAAACTCCCTTGGCCCTATCTCTTTTCAAGTGCTGCTGCCTTTATCAATGCACAGAAACAGCAAAGAGTCTCAGGAAAAAAAATTACAGAGGTTGAGAATTGTAGCGTTTAATTGTGTTCAACATCGTGAGCACAGAGACAAAGGAAAAAAGGCAGGAATGATCTTGTCTCTCAAAGGGTACATGCCAAGAGCAAGATTTGTCTCTTTTCCTTGTTTTAGGAGTAAGGTTTTGATTCAACTTAAAAACTGCAGTGCAGGAGTATTAACCATGTGACTGTACCATGTGGATTTGTAGGGTAAGGGTCTGCAATTGCATCTCATCGTAGGGTAATTAAGAAGAAAACCAAGGCTGTTGTCAGTAGGTTGAAATGCTGTCTGTAAGCTTTTGCTCCTCCAATCTCAACTTTTCAGGAGTCCACAAATTTAATGTATTTGAAAGCTACAGGCCTAAATTAGAGAAACCACGTGCTGAGAATTCTGTTGCTACAAATTTCACTTGCGACACACTGCGGTAATTTCTGTGGCCAGTGCCATGTCTCACTAATAAAGTATATATTAACTGTAATGATTCAAAGATAGTAAGTACAAGTAACATTTCCAATATTATGCTAAAAAGCTCAAGTCCTGTATCTATTTTACTGGGGCTGACTGGAAAGGGGGGGATTCTCTCGGGAATCGCTCAGGTTTGCTTTTCCGGGATTGTGATTTCAGTTTTGGGGTTCCTTTTCGCTCCTCCAGGATCGTTATCAGCAGATGGTGAACAATTATACTGTGCATCACTCATTTGATATATATATCTATATATATCTCTCTCTATATATATATGTTATCATTATTACTTTTATTATTTTAACTTTATTTTTACTCTAATTATTAAATTGTTCTTATCTCAACCTACAAGTCTCCTCAGCTTTACCCCTCCAATTCTCTCCCCGATCCCCTGGGTAGAGGGGCTGCAAGTGGCTGTGTCTTGTTTGGCTGCCAGCTCAGTTAAACTATCACAGTGTGGTATATCTGAAGGTGTAACACCTGCTTGAATAGCACTGCAGGACTGTAGGCTACAGGAAGACAAATCTGGTGCACTCATCCTCACTTCCTGTTGGAGACAGCCTGTGCTATGCACTCTGGTACCATGTACCTTAGAAAGTGGTGGCTGACCTGGGCCAGGGTTGTGCTAGGAAGCACGTGGACAGGTAAGCAGTAGAGGTGGACTCTGGTTCAGTGCTAGGTTTATTGTGGCTCTGTTTTATTTAGCAGTAATGATGTAACCACAGAGATGACAACACAAGCCCTGAAGAGAAGCCGTAGGAGATGCGTTGCCTGCTGGTCTTGTCAGTACCTCTTTATTGATGAGCAACAGTGTGGTAGGACTGGGGCTCAAAGTCTGTGTGACACTAACCATTCTAGAACTAACCTTAGTCTTGTGCTTTGTCCTGTGGCACCCAGTCTGGTCCCATAGTACCCAGCTCATGGTCCCCTATATCTACCTTCCTCTCCATCCCTCCCATTTTTTTTTGTACTGCAGGGGTGATACTGTTTCCCCAAAATGTTTGCTCCAACTGAGAGAACTGGAGAGACTAAGCACAGGCTGTGCTTTGAACTACACTTGAAATCATAGCTGTAGTTGTTCCTTAGGCAATGTTCTCTAAACACAGAATTAAACATGAGCAGAACAGGACACTGCACAAAAAAGTAACCATAAAAATAAAAATAAAAAAGTTGCATTAACAATTAAATACAGAATTTCTGTGTTAAGGCCATAAAGCTGCACCCATATTTGGGATGCTTGAAAGGTACCAAAGATATAAACCATACGACATCCAAGAGTTAGCTGCAGAAAGAAGAGTTCTCAACAGTTTACTTCTGAAATACTTAATCATTAGGAGTTGATACTAACATTGCATCAGCTGTTACTGTCACTTAAACTCATGAGAAAGGAAGGCAGTTCTCCTGTGTTTGCAGCTCTCTGGACAATCTGTATCTCTCATTTACACGATGTATTGATTTAACTCAGGAACCAATAAGCTTCACTATAATTTTTATTTCTGGAAGATGTGCTTCTGCATGTTTAGGGATCACATCTGTGTAAAGGACTGCCCTTTGTTATTCTATTCATGGAATATTTCTAAAGTAATAGTAAAAAATTCAATTACCGCTGTTACCTGCAGCTCCCTCGTTTCCTCCTCAGCAGCAGAAGCATGGTACGAGAGAACCTACAGGAAGAGAAAAGCAGCCCTTAGTACAAACAAGAGAGCAATGTGATAAAAAGGTATTTTTCCTAAAGCAGAATTTTCAGCTTGCAGCTGCACTGCACCGCATTTCCTTTGCTGATAAAATCTAGTGTCCGTGCAGGACCTGCACTTGTTTTAAAGGAGCTCTCTGAAAGCGTATGGGGAAGGTACCTGCAGCTTTCACAAATCTCCCACAGCACAGAATCTTCTTGGGATAATTAGGTCAAGAAAATGTAAATAGTTTCTATAAAAGAGCAAAGAACTCTTGATTTTTTTTCTTTGGAAAGTTTTCATGCCCCACTTTCAAAGACAAATAATACATGAAAAAGCTATAATTATGAGCTTGACATTGTTGCCATAATAAAACTTTCAGGAGTTTATTCAGATATAAAATAAAGTTTTACTGTAACTGAAACTTGGCAGAAAAGTCTGAAAGACATTAAGTTTGTTTTAAATTAACAAAATAAGCTCATATTTTTTAGCTGTTGAGAACACAGGATGTGAAAATGTTATGGAGTTTTATTAGCAACTAGAGACTGACTTTTTCTGTAAAGAAGCTATATTATATAGTAGCCTATGATCTGTCTGGACTTCTATATTAACTGTAAAGTGTCATAGTAGGAGACAGAATTGCTAATTTGCCCTATACACAAACAGCTTTTTTTTTTTTTTAAAGCACTGAAATAATTTTGACAATAATTTTACCACCTTCTTATTTAACATGACTCAATACAGGTTTATTTGAGAGTTACAACGTTTCTTTTAGAGGCTACAGGGTACATAATCCCCATTTTAGGAATTCTGCAAACATTCTGTTTACATAATGAATGTCAGGAGATCCAAAGTCTACACATTTTTCACTTTCAGCTTCAAGTTATCACCTCTGAGTAATTCATCTTCTCAGACTAAAGCCTGCTTTAGCTATTAAACTTAACAGTAACCAATTCAAAGGCTGAGACCAGATGACGCTGATCTTGATATGGTTTGATGGAGTCCGAGGAAATTGCTGAAAGCCTACAATAATGCTGCTGTTACTCCATAAACCAGTTTGTCTGAAGGACTGAGCCAAAATCATCACAGAAAACCTCAGACAAGAAAAGGAAGCCCCTAATCCCCCAAAACCATTTCCTCTTCCTACGCAACAGAACAAACCCACTATACTGCTAATGTGTAGCCTCAAGTAGAGGGGAAGATGCGTTCAGCTCAACACTAAATCTCATGAGTAAAGTTAAAATACAATACCAGATAAAACAGTCTACTGGCAGATATGGAAACAAGCAGAAAAAAAATCCTGCCCAACTCCACAGACCAAATGCTGTTCTCCTGGGGGAGAACAGTTTCTGTTCAGTGTCTGTGTGAGTAGCTGCACTCGTGTAGAACGGAGAGGGTCTGCAGAAAATCAGGATCCATTCTGGGCTAATTAAGGACCACCTAGATTTTGAGCTCACCTCTAATGTCACCATCTGTTTGGCCATAGCTCTTTCTACAGCTTCGTACATCTGTGTATTCTGGATCCCCAAGCCACAAAAGATGACGAATGCTTCCAGGAACTGTTCATCATTTCTGTTGAAAGCCTTGATTTTGCCCGAATTTTCTTCCATCTTATTCACAAGCTGGCAAACGCCTGTGCCAGGATACAGAAATTAAAGGAAGTAATACAGAGAACTGCCAACATATCACCTCTTGTATGGAACATCAGGAGAAAAAATAAGTCTAGGATAGTTTAGCCTACAGTACAAACCACCAATATACATAGAAGTAACACATAGGAGTGCTGTAAGATTTTCCCCAAAGTTTTTTAGAGTAATTTCATTGTATTATAGAATAAATGCTAAACCATTATATATTGACTCAAAAGTAATTTATTAGGATTTGTAAAACAAAAATGTAGGGCTTTACAGACTTGATTATCTTGTGAAAATCTAGGGTCGTTTTCATCCTAACTTTTATTATTAATAGTATTCTAGATTAATTTAATCCCTAAAGACAATTTGTCCTTTGGAGGCTAATTAAATTTTTGTAACCATGCCAAAAGAACATTTATGAAAGTCAGAACAGTGGTACACAGAGTCTTCACTTACTTATTTGAGTCAGTACTGGAAGTTTTTAAAAATAAATGAACTAAACAGAATACCCAAGTTGAGGCTCAAAGCTTATGTATAATTGCTGATTCTATGAGAATGTGATTCAATGCCAACCTGCTCCAAGGACTGCTGAACTCATTGAAAACCATCTTACCAAATCCAGCTTGTTAGGTTCAAACTAGTTGATAGTTGCATCTGTTTATTTTCTTTTAAGGGTTTCTGGACTTTTCTGTGCACATGCCATTGAAAGGTCTGACAGGTAACTTTTAACAAACCTTGCTGCAGCTTAAATCCCAGACACCATTTTAAGCAGAGGGAAGTTCACACAGGTACCTCACTTCAGTTTTACCTAGCAGATGGCAGTTTCTGCTAAGAAATCAGAATATTAATTAAAGCAGCTGCACTGTAAGTATATGTTGTCTTTGGCCAAAACTGCTTTGGGGGTCATTATTGTCTTAAGTGAGTCCAAATGTTTTCTCACTCTCATGAGTGTGGGTACTAACAGTTTTGAGAATAAAAGCTAGCATCTTCCTAGCCAACTGCAAATAATTATCCCAGTGAAAATAACAGTTGCCAATTAAAAATTCTGAAAAAAAAATTACTAAATGAAAAAGTATTCATTTTCTATAAATTGCTCTTGCTTACCAGTCTGTATACTTTATGTATTTTATGAAGAACATCTTGCAGCAGAAACAGTAAAAATATTAAATCTGTATTTAACCAGCAAAAGAGAAGATAGCTAGCATGGCGTTTCCAAAACACTCTTTAACAATGTTTAGGTTTTCTTGCATCAGTAGAGCTACTCCTAATTTACACAGGATATATGAACAGAATCTGAATGCCTTACACTTTGCCACCATAAGGTCAGGGAGGCCAGATTTCTGCTGATGCATAGGGAAGAAATAAAGAATACTATTTTACAGCAGTACCAACAGTGAACATTATCAGCAGCTACTGTAAGGTCTTGTCAGTGCTAATAATTTTTTTACATGAAAGTATTTCCAGCATTTTAGTGCTCCATATTTACAGACTAAAAAAGCTCATTTAGGTGTTTAATTAAAAGGAAAAAAAGTCTTTGAGGGAGCAAGTGTGCATCTTCCCTGTTACAGTAGCAAGAAAAACTGAGGAAAAGAATGTAGCACACACATGCAAACTGTATTTTTAGAAGAATACTGGCCTTGCACCTAGAAGTTTTAATGTCTGGTGACAATGTAGCACTGTCCTGTTTCCAAATTACAATCTGTTTGGGGAACTTACTTTAGCGTCAGTCTCCTCTAAAAGAGATCGGTAAGAATATCGTAAGTGTAGCTGTAAACTGTTGTGTAGGGGTTGTGGTATCTGAATATTGCAAGCAGGATTCTGAACCTTAACGAAATGAGATGACTAGATGCTTGAATGATAGTAAAAATACATAATCCTAGCCAATAAAGATTCACTAAGAATAAGATTAACTTTCCCTGGGACAAAGAAGGTGACTTACAAAATGCTTTAAGAAAATCCCATGAAACTCACTTTCAGAACCCTGTTTAGTACTGTTCATAACATTATAATTATTTCCATAGCAACTGTGATGTAATGAACACAAGATTAAGACTAAACAGTGAATAAGCCACAAAAGCAAATAAATTCTTAAAAGAGACAGCATTTGAATGCACATAAAAAATGAGAGAACTGCAGTAAATACTCTGTGTAGTACTTAAGACTCTGTAACCTTTTTCAAAAACTTCCCCAGAGCATTGAGATGTCCAGACATTACAATTAAAGGAACTCAAAAGTCTTTTATTTGGACATAGTTAGAAAATCACAGAAAGATATTGTAAAGTTTTCACCACATACCTAAAAAATGCACAAGTCAGGAGAATAAAAAAGTTATTTTAGTCTTTCTTGCCAGGAGGATTTGCTTGGTTTTTCCCACCCCGCGCCCATCTGCACAGCTCACTCCCCAAAGTCTGGTTTGGGGTATATACTAATCTTAAAAATAAAAAGGGAGACTTACAATAATAGTCTTGCATAATATATAATGTGCTAAAGGAACTGCTGGGTATTGTCCCAAAGACAACTTCTTGACCTTGCCCCATTATAAAATCTGGACATTAGTCAGGCTGTGAAGCTTTAAAAGACTTAAAGAACATTTACCAATGAGAATTACTCAGATTTGAAAAACCCACCTAAATGAGTGGCCTGAAACTTCCAGTTTGAACTTACACAGAAAACAGCAATAGAAAAAAACTATATGAGATCAGATGCAATTGTTTTATCAGTAGCTAACAGGATAGTGAAATATCTCTAATTAAAGCTCAACAGTTCAATCTTCATCTTTGTCTTCTAGGGTCTTGTAGAATATTTAAAACAAAGTAATAAGGAGGACTCATTAAAGAAGCTGATATCAAAAGAAATATCAGAGAACTCCATTAGGTAAAGATGATGCTTCTCCTTCTGCTTCAGGAGTTAAAAAAAAAATATCTATCTTCATGGAAAAGGGACCTCATTTACTATATAGGTTGGGTTATGCAGTTATGCCATAATTCTCAAAATTATTTGAAGACCATTAAAAAAATGCACTTTTGGAACTCTTTTAACATTTACTTGCCAAATTTTGTAAAGCTGAGGAAGCTGGATTCATGCTGCTCTCTAGGAATCAGTATATTTCATGTTCTGTTCGCTTGTGGAACTTCCTGGTGCCAGGAAAGCAGGCTGACACTCATCCTGCTCTTCATGGGACAGAAAAGTCCTGGTAAGTTCCAAAAGCATCATCATCCTTTTGTTTAAGGTGAATCTGAAACTCACTGAAAGACTTAAAGCTCATTAAGCTCGTTCCCTGACCAGATCCTCAAAACTATTTAGGTGTATACTCATCTTTGAGGACCCAGACCATGGCCACCTAAATATTTTTAGGGAACTAGAGATAACTAGGCTTCTAAGTTTCCATAAGCATCAAGGCCTATGTGGACCTAAGTGATGTCAAAGTATTTCTGAAAATGTTACTCTAGGAAACCAGTGGTACTATGGCCACTCTTTAAAATAGAAGAAAAGTGGTTCTAGAAAAAGCAAAGGAGATGCTGCAGAGATATTAACACTGGGTAGCTTTAGACACTTACTAGTGTCTTATGATAGGACTGTAGGCTCCCTACATAATCCACAGGTAGAAGCAGGCACCTCCGAAAGGCAATACATAGCAGCAGAATTGCACAGCAGCTTCACAGCAGCTAGCCTTCTAATGTAGGAATCTTCCCGTAGCTGGGTCTCATTTGAGGAAACTGTCCCTGTCTGTGCAGTTCATCTCGCCTTTCCACATGTTCCCTGAAAGCCACAGCTCAGGCCTGAAGAGCTTATCTACTGATTTACACCTTCTCTTCCTTGTAAAAGATCTACACAGGCAAGAGTGGTAACTGACTTTCTGAACAGGAAGCAATGAAAAGAATTTTACTTACAGAAAATTTTTGAATGCAAAGAAGCTATAAAAATGGTGAATTATCACACGATTGTGGTAGATACTTGGTAACTTACTGGGTAAGTTACCAAGTATTACACTAGGTAAGTTACTCAAGTTACACAGAGCCACCAAGATGATGAAGGGAGTGGAGCATGTCCCTTATGAGGAAAGGCTGAGGGAGCTGGGTCTCTTTAGCTTGGAGAAGAGGAGACTGAGGGGTGACCTAATTAATGTTTATAAATATGTTAAGGGTGAATGTCAGGAGGATGGAGCCAGGCTCTTCTCAGTGATGCCCAACGATAGGACAAGGGGCAATGGGTGTGAGCTGGAACACAGGAGGTTCCGCTTAAACTTGAGAAGAAACTTCTTTACGGTGAGGGTGACAGAGCCCTGGAACAGGCTGCCCAGGGAGGTTGTGGAGTCTCCTTCTCTGGAGACATTCAAGACCCGCCTGGACGCCTTCCTGGGTGATCTCATTTAGGTTCCTGCTCCGGCAGGGGGATTGGACTAGATGATCTTTCAAGGTCCCTTCCAGTCCCTAATATTCTGTGATTCTGTGATTCTGTGTGTAAAGCAATTTACAGGCAAGGTTGCAGTGGACGTAATAGTTGAAAACATTATAATTAAGGATCTTTTCTCCTGGGTTGAGATTCTATGTTGCTGAGATTTTACTGTGGAGCACAGAAATATTTCTATGAAATGTATAAAAATATTTTTTGCAATGATACCTACCTATCACTTTATTCTTTTTCCCATTTTTTATTGGTGTACACAGCAAACTCTTTATGTGTTGACTTACATTTTCCGCACTGTCATTCTGTTAAACAAAGAAAAAAACAGAGTTACAATTTTAAATACTAACATTCACGTGGCTAAAGTGAAAAAGCTGTAGAGCTCAGGTCTACAACTATTCTTGGCTTGTATGTTCCTTCAAAAAGCAACCATGTCTTCAAAGAGTTTGCACTCTTTGGCTGGACAGTCTAATAAACACTGTATCTGATACAAGCGTTAATGAATAATAATACAGATAATGATGATAATCTTCGTTCAGTAGGAGTTTACAGTTACTTATGTAATTGTGCTAATTTTTTAATAGGTTCTTTCATTAGAAGGTACCGCTTCCATGAAAATGACAACTTTGCTTCAAGACACTTTGTCTTGTTCCACTCAGTGCAGCTGAAAAGAGACCAGATGGGGTTTAGGACACCTTTTTTACTCTCATCAGGTGATGAGCTGTAAAAGGAACTGACCTCTTCTCTTTCCAGCACATCCCCTCACTTGCAATATGGCAATTTAATGAAAAGATGTCATAAAACAAGAGTAAGTACCTGACATTAAGCAAACTGTGCATTTTGTGGCGCTAAAATTTTTGTAAACTCTTTTGGTTTGTTTGAGATGCCTTGATTAATCCACCAACACAATGAAAGGGAGCTTAGTGGAGACCAAATTATGATCCAAAGAGCAACAGGTAGGAAAACTAGCACCAACTAGGTCAACATGCTGCAGTCTTCCAAAGACCTTTTATCATGTCTCATGCTCCAAGAGAAAGAAACTGAATTTATTTTAGGGGGTGGAACAAAAGGACAACGCATCTTTTTTCAAATACCTTGTGAGAAAAGGATGTGGTCCTGCTCTGACTGCTCCTGAAATAACGTGGCAGTTGCTAAGAAGTAAATTTGGTCCAATCTCTAACTGTATGTGATAGAAACAACTGGGTGGACACTAATATTTCAGATAAAAAGGTTAATTTGGGGGTTATTTGTTACTCTGCTCTCTGGTGCTGCACAAGGATTGTAGACAGTTTCTTTGCAGGCAAATGCACAAACACTATAATGCTTACAAGTGGCCACAGGAAATGTGATTCTTTAAAGAAAACATTAAAGAATTACATCACACCAGATACTTTACATGACTCCAGGAAGTTAAGTACTACTACTTAATAGTAGCCCATTATCAAGAGGGTATATGGGATAAATCAAGAGTAGGATTTGCTGTTTTCTGAACTGTGACTTACCTGTGAAATCAGCTGTAAAACAGGATATAAAATGTCAGCATCTCTCCCTAGACCTCTCCAGCAAGGGCAGCTGAGAAACACCAAGTCAAACTTGCATGAAAATTGGTTTATGGCTACTCTGAGAAGAACCTGTTGTTTTATAGTAAAGTTCAGATGTGTGGAAAGTCAAACTGGAACAGACTGGAGATAACACCAGAGTGCACAGTGCTTAATAAAACTGCCTTGTAAAAGATCCTGACCCAATATTAATGAACAGGAAGGAGATGAAGCAAAAACAGGCTTAAATGCCTCTAAAGAGTCTTGTAGATATTTGAACTTTGTCTCCACTGCACTGATTTTGTTGGTTCAGGGAAGAACACGTACACATGACTGCTGAAGCTTAGCATTTGGCTTCCATACTGACTTTGTAAGTGGCCTTAACCTGAAGCAGGCAACGTCACAGCTCTTCCATGAATAAACCCAAGCTGTTGTTCTACCTCATGTCACTAAGTAGTTGAGGCAGGCAAAGCATTTAGAAAGCACAAAGTTCTTTTCATAAGGTGAGTAAGCATGCTGTTGAATGTCCTCCAAAGAAAGAGGCAAGACAGGGTTTCTAGGGTACTAGGTACACCTGGGATTTCCCCCATGTCAAGGTTCATCAGATTTCAAAACATTTAGCCTGCAGCCTTGCCTTGAGACTGCTCCTACACGGTGATGGAGATACAGCCACTGTGTGTTGAAAAACATCCAAAATTACTTCTAGCAGTACTTTATTTTATTTTTATTAGGGTTTTTTTTACATGTATAAGTAATCTAGATTCCAGGGAAAAATACAAACTACTCTAACTCTACTGACAAAGTGAAAGGTTTGTTTCAGACAAACAGTTGTTTGGATGACTCTCAAGGTATTATTCTTATTTCAAAACTTCTTCAAAATAATAACCTCTTTCTTTATTGATACACTACAGTATATCCATCCAATTCTGGTTTTACTTCCACTCCTGCAGTTAACATCGCTTTGGGCCCTGTACTGCAAAGGGGTGAGCACTAAATTCCTGTGTTGCTCAATCCTTCATAGAAACCCACTTCAGAACATCCCTGAACCCTTGCCCAGAGAAAAGGGGAAGTAACACAGCTCGCCACCATTGAGCCTGCCCCTTCTTTCCACTTACTGGAACTATCACATTGAACACGACATTTTCTGACCTTTTTGTTGTGCATCTCAGAACAAAGAGTTTGGTAAAAAGCTATCTGCTGATCATAATTCCTCTCCATGTTTTTACTCTTTTGCTGAGACCCTTTAGCCAACAGGCTTAAATATAATAAGAAGAGCAGATATCTTTCTAATTACTGCATTGACAGGAAAATATAGAATTACACATTTGCTTTTTGTTGATGACAACTTTGAAGGCAACCTGACTGTAATCTGAGTGTTGCCAAGTGCCTTCCCTCCTAACTCTCCGCTATCTGTGTGTTCAGTAATGTACCATACCACAAGCTCACGCTCGATGAAGTGTGAAGCAAAAGCTCCCAAAGAAAAGTGAAATTGTTCCTTCTCCAAAACAGCAAGGAACTTGCATCTACAACATTAATCTTTGCCAGAAGAAGGGAAAGGAGAGGATAAAAGGGAAGGAACTTCTGAGAGCATCCCAAAACTCACAGTAAACTACTGAGGATTACTGTGAAAACCTCCAACTGTTCTTCACTTAAATGTTTTCCACAGAACATATTGTAAGCTCTGCACATTGCACTGTCTATTTATTGACAAATTAATGTTAGGCTTTTTAATAACGTCACTAGGGATAAATCCTTCCCCTGGCCACCTGACTCACTGTGTGAGTATTGTACCATTTCTTCACTCATCATGAACTTTATCAAGCAAATGTACCTTCCTTTGTGTTAACATAATTCTAACTGTGGCCATTAAATTAATAGAAATCATAAGGGGAAAACAAAAAAGGTTTGAAAGGTAAACAGGGAAAACATTTTCCAGTTCTGAATTTCAAATCGAAGATTATTTTACTTACTGTCCAGGGAAATCTTCTGTCTTTGCAAACATCTGGGATGTTGAGAGGCTCCATCGTATTCTTGACATACTGAGCATACATATAATTGATTTTGTTTGTATCATAGTCCCTGAAGGATACAAAATTATTATTATGTGCTTAGTATGAAAATGGGTCATTTCATTATGCAAAGCAGGTAATTGTAATGTCTTTCCTGTATGAGGGGAAAAGATATAACCAAGAGATATATAATGGAGTGGAGTTCAAATCCTGTATCTTAATCCAGCTGTCATCACAAAACTGCAGAGTAAATTGATTTATACATTCTGCCATTTCTTTAATATTTAACCATGTTTACACTGAACACCAGACTTAAGAAATAAACAAATCAGTACAGTTTACGCAGACAAGGATAAAGAATGAACAACTGGGTTTATATTGAAATAAACAGCACTTTTTGAAAACAAACTCCATTCACAGATCTGACACACTTGAAAAGTCAATACTGGACGAAATTCACATATTCTTTAAACAGAGTGCAGCAGGTAACATTTGTGAATTTCCTGCTTCTGAGTTCATTTCAGATTTTTTCTAAAAGTAAAGGCAAAATCAGTTGCATGAGAATTCTGTTACTGAAATGGAACTGTTTATTCCAAATCAGGACATAAAATATCTTAACAGAATCAATCATCTCCTACTTTTTTAGCCACGAAGTATTTAATTAAGGCATTTCAATTCTCTTGGACCCTTTGCCTGCTTTGGAGGAGGACATATGTCCTAATAATAAACCTATTCCCATCAAGCTCCTGTAGTTTCACTCTGACACTTGACTTGACTTTAGTTATCCTTCTGGTGTAAGGATGTTCACAGTGCTGGAGGAAAGGACTTATTCTTTTGTTATTTCACAAACTCAGTTATACAATGTAATGCCCTACAATTCTGAAAACCCTGGTCCTTGATTACATAATAAGCCTGAAATTTTATTATGTGAACTAGTACTTCCCATCTAATCCCTCTCATTATATTTCTGCTGTTGCCCAGAATCGTGCCCTTCAAGCATAGCAGAGGTTGTAACTCCAAGGGTTGACTCACAGTACAGTCCTTGGCATATAATTGTGCTGTCTCATGAACAAGACTCAGGTATGCAATTAAGCATCCAAGATTCCTTCCCTATCAGTTATGAGAAATAATTTACTGATGACATGGAGCAGCTAGAACAAGTCCAGAGGAGGCCACCAGGATGATCCGAGGGCTGGAGCACCTCTCCTATGAAGACAGGCTGAGAGAGTTGGGGCTGTTCAGCCTGGAAAAGAGAAGGCTCCAGGGAGATCTTATAGCAGCTTCCAATACCTGAAGGGGCTACAAGAAAGCTGGGGAGGGACTTTTCATAAGGGCAGGGAGTGACAGAACAAGGGGAAATGGGTTTAATCTGAAAAAGGGTAGGTTTAGATTAGATATTAGGAAGAAATTCTTCACTGTGAGGGTGGTCAGACACTGGCACAGGTTGCCCAGAGAAGCTGTGGCTGCCCCCTCCCTGGAGGTGTTTAAGGCCAGGCTGGATGAGGCTTTGAGCAACCTGATCTAGTGGAAGATGTCCCTGCTGATGGCAGGGGGGGTTGGAACTAGATGATCTTTAAGGTCCCTTACAACCCAAACCATTCTATGATTCATGCAAGCAGTAAATTACATTTTGAGTCTATTAACTAGTAACCAGGAAAGGGATAATGAATAGGAAGGGTAAATTCTCTTTACCATTCCCACAGTGTAGAAGAGGAACTTTCTCTTTCAACCTGTGATTTTACCAGTCTGTTGTACCAATGTACTTTCTGGTTGCACGTTGTCTAAAATCATAATACAGCTCGACAATTTTTAGTTGCTCAAGCCACATACTTTGGACATAATTTTCTAATATATGGAATTAAATTTAATATAATGAATGTTCACTGCAAAAAAAGATCAAAGAAATCTCCATTTTCTCTGCACACTGTATCTGTAGTAGTGCATTTTATATACAACTGTGTCTCAGTCTTTGGACATTATTTGAAACAACTGGTTTTGATGACAGAGAAAGGTAATGGAGATGGTAATTTTCAAACTTCAATACAGCAGTTCAGACTAAATTTGGAAACTACTTAATCTGGGCATTTTACTTCAACTACATCTTTTCCTTCCTCTGAGTTGAACTTGTTAATGGTTTCTCAAAGACTGAAAGAACTTCAGTACTTTATCCTTGATTTAGTCAGTCATGTTCTTTAAGTCAGCTTCCCTATCTATGAAATAAAATTAATGATTAAAATAATTGATTAAAATCATAAATAGGATTAGTATCTACTAATGTGTCTACTCTACAACACAGTCATCTACACAGATTTCTTACAGATCAGTTTTAGATCAACCCACCAACTTAGGTTTTTATTTCTCACAGTTTGTACATTTCCATAGCTTAGCCTTGCGATACAACTATGCACTTAGACCTGACAAAGTGAAGAGATCAAGCCCTACTCTCCTATTGTGCTCAGTGTGACCTTTTTAAGGCAACAGAGTTTGACTATGTACATTTTAGGGCAAGACCTGGTCTATAAAAACAGCAGTAATACATGGTACCCAGTGGAAATAAGGTCTGTTATTATGAAAAAAAAAAAAAAGCATTAAAAGCATAGTTTCTTCAACATTCTCCTGGCATGTACAAAAGGTTGAATTCATTGTTTTACCTCTTCAGATTTTCAGCTGAATCTTCTAATTCCTCAGATTCCATGTGAAACACACTAGAAAATGAATCCTGGAAAACCAAGAGGATATTTAATACTTAGATGTATATGGTTGCCATAAACTAGAATAGTAGTATTCATTAAAAGCTTGTTGCAGTTATCAAAACCTGTTCTGTAATAAAGACAAGTGTAAAATTATTTAACTTCATTTCACATCTAGAAGCAAGTGTACAAGATCCTACCACAGAAATACCTTTTGATACAACTTGAAATAGAATTGAAGTGCCTTGAATCTCCACTGGTCACTCTGAGAAGAAATGACAGTATTTCCAAGCTGTGCCAAATTTATCTGTCAACATAGAACTTCTTTATTTTAACATTCCTCCAATTCTAGACCTGCTTTGCTTGGGCAGGTGAGGACATCAAAACCTTTTAAAAGTATTGATTGATCTCTGTGTTGCTTTTCACACAGCTTTTTTTATTTAACAGTTGAGAAGCCTAAATGTAGAGAGAAATTAGATTCTCTGTTGTCCTGGTTTTGCTAGGGTAGAGTTAATTTTCTTTCTTTTTAGTAATTAGAAGAGTAGTATTTTACTTTCAGTGTTTCAGTTCAGACTTATCACGAGAAGAACTTTGATAACAATACTTGTGTTGCTGCAGCTTCAAGGCCACCGTGTTTTTTGCTCCTTCACAGCTGCATTAGGACTGGGAGGGGGGAAGCGCAGTGAGGAGCAAAACCCAAAACTGGCATCTGGTTGTGCCAATGAAATATTCCATATCATATCACGTCATGTCAGTATATTAACCAGGGTTGACCGGAAGACAGGGCACTTCTCTCGGGGATCGCTCGGGCTCACTCTTCCAGGGTTTCGGTTCGGGACCGTCTCGGCTCCGGGATCGTTAGCTGGCACAGGCTGGGAATTGGTCAGTGGGCGGTGAGCACTGTATATCACTCATTTGTATAGTCTGTTATCACTGTTGCTATCATTATCATCTTCTTTTAATTAGTAAATAGTTTTTATCTCAACCCGTGAGTCTCTTGGGCAGGTGAGGACATCAAAACCTTTTAAAAGTATTGATTGATCTCTGTGTTGCTTTTCACACAGCTTTTTTTATTTAACAGTTGAGAAACCTAAATGTAGAGAGAAATTAGATTCTCTGTGTACTAAAGATTCAAACTACAGACTGCAAACTAGGTGCTGGAGTTTATTTAACTTGCAAGGAGAGTGTGAATATGTGAATACAAAAATTATGTAAATTCTTCTTCTGTATTCTTGTGTGTGGGAGTGACTTCTAAATACAGTGAGAGATGGTATTGTGGCAGATGATCACAAGTGCTGTGTGTTATTTCTGTGCTACAGAACCTGGAAATGCTTCCTTATTTCCAGATCTTAGTACACCTGTATCTATAACGAGTAGGAGTAGCAATGCCAGTACAAGACTGAAGCATGGAACATAATATCCTGCTCCTTGTTCTGCAGCTTATTTTCAATAGGAAGGAAATACAAGTGGGCAGTTTGGAAAGGAGTTCTGCTTTGCTTCAGTGAGCCAGGATCTTGGGACAGGCCATGATGTTTAGATACTCCCTGCTTCAATATACTCAAGAAATAAAAAGTGCTGTCAAAAAACTGATTCTGCACAGGAAGCAAAGGTCAAATTGTTTTTCTCCCAGCCTTTTCCTTTTTTCCATCCTACATCAGTAACCAAGAAAATGAGTTAGGAAAGAGTTCCACATTCAAGATCTATGCCATAGGAGAGAGCTTAGAGCCATAGTTTACCAACAGGCAATGCAAAATGGCTGCATAAAATGGCGATTTGGCCAACACAAAGACTAGAGCCTCCCAAGTCAGTACCTAACCTGAGTAGATGCCATAAAAGAAAAGGCAGAGGACAAAAAGGCGACAGAACATACTATGGGTTTGAAATACTATTGAGTCAGAATGGAGGGAAACCCACACTGCTCCCAGGGAATAAGCTTTTCTACCTTTAGACAAAAAACATACTCACAGTACAATCTTCATCCACTATGAAGATGGTACACCTCTGCACTTGCATGAAGGATATTATAGTGGCAGCTATCTTCTTCAGAATTACTTCCAAAGACTGCTGCTCTTCAAAAATCAGGCTGGCAAGATCAAGAAGCACCTGGGGAAAAAGGTCTTGTGTGAAATTTTGATTAAGTGTGATTTAAGTAATAGTTATCATTACTGTGGTCTTTGATTCTTCTCTTCTTCCCTGAATCAAGGAAGTCAACGTGTATGTCTGTGGCCAGAATTAAGTTTTGGCTGTCACACAGACTGCAAGATAACAATAAATAATAGCCAATTTGATACTTTTGATGGAAGAAATAAATAGCACAGTTAGCTATTTTCAGTCAGAGAGACAGAAGAGATTTAGGCATTAACAGTTCATCAAATGAAACCTGAGGAATCCAGACAACAGACAATTATTTGTCCTTAGGAAACCTAATAGTTTCCTATGGCTCATGTGTGCATTCTAAAAACAGTGATATTTACATTTCTTAAGACTTCTGAACACAATTATTTTCTGTTGTAATTCTAACATCCTAATGAACTCATTTGATGAAAACATCATTTAGATATAGTCTGCTGTATTTCAAAGCTGCTGCTGAAGGACTTAGCTGCTCCGATATGCTCTGACTTATTATATTCCCTTTTTCCTCACAAGAAGCATGGAGCCAATTTGAGAAAAGTATCCAGATTTGTACCAATTTACAAACACTTGATAGTCACTTGGAAACTCAGACCTACCAGAAAATTTTTCAAACAACTGCTGCCTAGTTGTTTCTCCAAAACCTTTTCATACCATATATGGCAGACATATTCACCTGTAAAGGCCATGGCATTAATAGCCCATCAGTTGTAAAGATGGCTGCAAAATACAGTTACATCAATCAGAATGAAATTCAATTTTCTATCTGATCATTACTGAAAATATGGTTAGTGACTATTTATAGATGTAGCAGACTGAAAGAGCAATCTGTATAACCTCTCCCATTCTGCAGGGGTAATTCTATCTGAAATTTCTGGAAAATGTACACCTCTGGTTGTATAATATATACAGTGAGCCACACAGTAACTTCAGGTAATATTGAGTATATTGAGGTAGAATGAATTTTCTGTCATCCAGCTTTACCTTCTTCCCCTAGATGGTCGACTTCTTGCAGCCCAGGCTGGAACATGCCCATCTACTTCTCAGTACAGTTAGTTAGAGCTTTATCAGAGATACACAGCATTCAATTAGAGTAATTAAAAATAGCCAAGGAATAAGTACCATATGAGAAATACCAGGAGCAGGCACTGATTACTAGCTAACCATTGCAATTTCTGTATTCTTGGGACAAACCTGTTGACCGTACCTGATTACGCCTGTTCTCGAGCAAAGATGTCTCATACAATTGAGCGTTGTGAAGAACAATTCCACAAAATGCCAAATATGCAGCAAAATCCTGAAGACAAATGAACACCTCATGAAGACAATGTCTCATAGCATCTTAACTCTGTTCAAAGACAAGCTACTGCAATGTTTTGTTTTCACTTGGAAGTATTAATTGATATTTTAAGTTATTTTTGGCAACCACACATTCAGGTGGGGTTTTTTTTTTCAGTTACTTGTAATTTGTTATTTCCTCAAGAATCTCTTCTCCCTTTTTAAACTAACGATCTTCACAGTTTATCCTGGGAAAACTAGGATTGATATAAGAAGCAGCTCAGAGGAATCAACTCATTTTGCAGCAGTGCATATTTTAGCTAGAAAAACTGAGTGCAGACAAGCTCTTGTTTTGAGGAATTCAATCTCTTGGAAGGTGGAAATAAAATTCTGCTGATATGGCAAAAGCACAATTTTTTTCTCTCTCAGAATGGGATTAATTCTGATATCCTGCATATACTCAGTATGTATTTTGTTTTAAAGAGCAAGTTTTCAAAGGGAAAGGGTAAATTCTGATTTTGTAATTGCTGAAGTCAACAACTTCAGCCTGAGTGCAGCCTGTTTTTTGCCGTACCAATCTGCATGTGAAGTCTGGAAATGGTTGGAAAGCAACTGCAGTGTGAGAAATAGGAATCAAGGTGCTGTCTTCTCTGCTGATTATTTCATATATTGTTCATAATTTATCCAAAGCTTTTTCTCATCCTGCAATTGCTATATTGAGAAGTGATGCAGTATTTAAAAGGGAATCACTACATATATTTTAATATTCCAAATATGTTTGTTGGGGATACCAGCAGAGTTAGAACAAATTAATTAAAAATTAAGTCTATTGAAAGTTATGAAACTGTTTTACAATGCATTTCAGTAGAGTAAGCTTGTGTTTCAGAGATGTGTGAGAGATACCATGCTGATCCAGAAATTAAACTATTTCACATCCCCATTTCTTGTGGCTTCATAAAGAAAGAAATTTGCAGTATTACCAGGAATTTTTACTTTTTCAGAAGTATTTAATTTTTCTGATCAGCATGAAAAGTAATAACATATCCATCCCCCATTCCCCCATGAAAATAGAAGAGACATAAATGTCCAGCTTTTATACCTTTTCATCTTGTTCAGTGAAAGTGCCACCAATTCCAGATTTCTTATTGATTGCTTGAGCCACACCAACAACCTAGAGTATTCAAAATGGAGTAATTAGATAATTTTTAGGAGTCTGTTATTGGATTCTATTTCTAGACATATCTGTAGAAGATAATAAATGATCATTACAAGTATTAATTTTGTTGACCTTTGGATAACATAAGAGATGTAAGCCTGTTTTTCCCTAATTTATTCATATTACAAATAGCTGAGCATGAAGCTGAAATATCCAGAAAAATAAAAGTGGCATGAGTCCTGGATGCTTTAATTAAGAGGATTTGATTTGATCCAAAATTGATTTTATAAATTGGAACACTCATCTCCCAAAAAGACAACAACAGTTTACACTTCTGCAGTCATAAGCCAGACCATGCAACAGTTCTCTCTAAAAGTTCATCTGCTTCTGTGTGTAGAAAATATCCTTGCTGCTAGCTCTGACAAAATTTCCAAAGCTTAGCCTCCTTACCGGATCTAGAGTTTGGCTACAGTGATCTTTTTGCATTTTGTATCTCTCTGAATCTGACTGGATTAATTTTCATATGCTGAAAAAACAGTATACAAAGGTTGTGTTCCTTCCAGACTAAAGTTTGTTACTCAAGACCACATGAAACCAACACTGAGAAGAGGTATTTTGTTATGCTTCACCTGGTAGTTAGTCTGGCCTTCTTGCCAAGATATGCTGATATCTCACCATTTTTAATTATTTTCTCTATGGAACAACTCAGAAGATAGGGAAGAATCCTGGTTTACAGGTAAAGCAGCTAAGCAAAGGGTAAAAAGTCATTCACAGATCCTGCAGGACATCTGCAATGGACCCAAGAAGCAAACCCACACGCCCTGATCAACATGAAAGGCTTTCCATTAAGTAGGTCTTTCTGCTCTTGGCACGTGGCTTAAGTCCTAGCTTTCAAACTAGGACAGTCTGAAAAAGTTTCCTAGACTATGTATTGAGATCACCAGCCAAGAGGGTTCATAAATTAAGGCTGCCCACATAAGTAAATCAGTGCACAGGTAGTAACAAGGAGGGTTTACCTGAACTAGAAAAAAAACTACTATGATTAATGAAATTAAGTCATCAACATAGCAGCTCCATTTACTTCCTTCTTTGGTTTGTCTCCTTCTGGATATAAGTGGAAGAAAATGGAATCTGTGTAACAATAAACCAAGCCAGATTATGCATCTAGTTTTATTCTTATATCGTTCTGTCTAAATTGTGTTAAATTTCACGTTAAGCATCATGATGTGATGCTTTTTTAGTATGGAAATAGTCTGTGGTACAATTTGATTTCAAGTTTCTGGACATCATCCCATGAATTGGGAGATTAAAACGTGATTTCTTACAAAGTAGAAAACAGTCTCTTTAAGGACAATGAGTTAAAGTCCAAGCTACTGGTGCTTTTGTAACTTTCTACACAGAGCATAGTTAGCCGATAAACATGGATACAGGATGTTGGTTTGGATTAAAAAAAAAACAAAGTAAAATGAATGTGAGAGAACAACACAGCTGTTTAAGCATGATTTTTTTTAATACTGCCAGTCTTTGTGGAGTTCAATTCTGCATGCTGGTGAGAGCCTCCCGGGAAACCAATCTGCCACGCAAACAGCAGAACTCCGTGTCAATCTGAAAGTGGAATTCAGATCGTTGCTCGGTAGTGATTCCAGTTTCTAATGCAGGCTCTGGCAGCTCTGACATTTGAGGAGAAATTAAATTGGGTGGTTGCTTTGGACTTACATCCTCAACATAGATGTCTTCTCTGGTAACTAGGATCTGTTTTTCAGAGCCCAAGGAAAAGAAGAGAATTTAAAGAGACTTTCATACAAGTCAGTATGAAGAAAAAGCGAGCATTTCTTTAAAAAATTAAATCACTGGGATAGTGTTTCTGTAGATTCCCCACTACAGTTATTCAGGCTGTGTACTGGCAGTGACCATTCTGTCCTGTAAACTAGTTTAAACTTCTTCTTGATTCTGTGCTTATCCTTGTACTTCCATGCTTTTATTCTTCTGAGTCATAAATTACCCATGTAATTTCACAGCACACTAAAACTGGAAGGCTTTCAGAAGGAGAGACAGGTTAATTTCAGTTGAGATATTTCTGACTTTCACTGTCGATAAGGTGAAAGTGAGAGGTTTTTGAACTCAAATATTTTATCATTCCATTTAAAAAGTTTATTTATTTTTATTATTATGCTATGCATTACTAATGCACACTCTTGTTCTTTATTAATAATCAAATTGTTACTATAATAAATGTTTCTCTCTGATGCATAAACATTTCCTCGATGATAGGATTTCAAGGCCTTAGCCTTTCCCTAATATAATTCAGTATGTTTCCACTCCTTTGGAGACTTTGCAAATTATTACTAATCTGACTTTAGGCTTAAAAGAATTGGAGAAAAGTACAGTCTCCTTGATTTGTGAATTTTAAAAAAATAATTCTGACTGTTAGTGAGTAATTACAGGTTTCTGTAATTGATATCAAGAGTGGGAGCTCTAAGGTAGTGAGCCCAATGCTGTTTATCAGGGTGGATGAGAAAGGTACCAAGTAGATGACCTTCTGAGGAAGGTACCAAGTAGAGGGATGGGGACAATTATGTCTGAGCTGTTACTTTTATTGGCATCCAGAAATGAAGCCCACAGTTTTATAGTATCAAGCTGAATAGCCGCTAGCAGCACCTGGAGTGAATTTAGATTAAGACAGAGCTGAAAGAGAGGAGTAGAACCAGAGCAAGAGGTGGGAAAGAGAGGCTGGAAACTGGGAGGAGATGGAAGTCACTCAGTAAAACCCTGCACTTCCTTTCATTTAGACCATTCATCTATTTAAATGGCTGGATCTCATCTTCTGCTAAACTCAATAAATCTGCTGTGCAGTAAGCTCAGAGGCTGGATAGAATGTGCTAGCACAGATGACACCCACCTAGCTGAGTACAATAACATGAAAGAGTACATGGTAAGAACCTGTAAAGCATGTGCAAAGCTTTTGATTCTTTCCAGATTTTTTGGCACATTTACAAAAAATGATTGACAAAGCTGCAAAGAACTTCCTTTGTTTGAGATCCAAGTAGTGTATGACCAGTGCAAGGTGTTAATGACGGTATCTTTTTCATCTTGCTTTTTTTGGATAAAAAAATATCAGAAGAAAACAGTGGTGTGCATGTTTAAAAAGTTGTACTTAACTGTTAATTGTTCAATTTATAATTGCTAAACTGATGGGAGGCATACAGTTTTATTTTTGTAATGGAAAAAGAAGACAATTGACTATCTCTCAGCCTAGTCTTCCCAAAATACTGATGTTACAAATAAGGTTATTGTTCTCCAGCATGAATCACTGCCAACTGTGGGCTCAAAAATGTCTGTCTGAAATAAAGCTTAACTGTCAGCTCTATTCCATACAGCCCAGTTTTTCCCACAGTCAACCTCTCATTTACTTCAGTGAGGAATACTTCTTATCCAGTGAACTTACTGTAATAACAATGTACAACTGGACTTCTAAACTTCTAGCAGCCTTTGAATAGTAAGGAAATCCTTTAACCAGTCAGTATGCTTTTATGTTAACCTACATGTGCAGAGATGAATAGTTAGACCTTTTCTCATACCACTGTCTTCTGTGGGTATTTATTTAATTTTAATTTTTTTTTCAGTTTTGATCCAGCATGAGCTAAGGCAACTTTAATGAGGTCAGAGGCTTTTTAACACATCCAAAAGGTGAGTACTTTCATCTTGTATAAACATATCCCCTCCATGAAAAGAAAGTCTATGGTGCTTAAAAAAGCTGTAAGAAAACAGTAAAAGGGCCGTATTAATATAGCAACAGAATATTTAGGCTCCTTTTATTAGCACTGCAGGTTTCTGATACATTAACAAAGGCACATGTTCCAAGAGAAATGGTCATTTTTAGATCTTTGTTAAGGTCTTTCAATAAAAGGTTTTAACTGAAGAGGGAGGGAGTAATGAGGAGAATAAATCTGCTAAAAATTCATGGTTGTCTTGATGGTGATGAAAATTTTGTGCAGATGCAAACCTTTCTTCTTGTTGTTTCAGTGGCATTCGATGCTTTTAAAGGTAACTCTGTAGTACGTGCCATTTTTTTCATACAAAATAAACAGTTTTAAAAATTCAACTGGTCCAAATTCTGTCCTCATTTATATCAGTACAAATTCCAGTGAACTTAACTAAATTCTGTAGAATGTGGTGTAGAGACAGTAATGAGAAAAACCTCAGATGGATATTATTTTGTAGTATGTGTAGTATTTTCATACAAAATAAACAGTTTTAAAAATTCAACTGGTCCAAATTCTGTCCTCATTTATATCAGTACAAATTCCAGTGAACTTAACTAAATTCTGTAGAATGTGGTGTAGAGACAGTAATGAGAAAAACCTCAGATGGATATTATTTAGCTATTGGAGTCTTGCCTGCAACCAGGTAATTAGGAGAAGATGTAGGAAACTCAAGAGGATCTGTTCCTGTTACTAAAGTAATTATGTAATTAGGACAAAAGTAAATCATGTGGTAGCATTTTAGGCCATGGAGAACATATGCTCACGTTTTAGAGAACACTAAGCACAGTATGAAACCCAGATCCTCAGTTTTCAAACTTACTGTAAACAAATCTGAAGTAACAATAGGCCTGATCTGTGATCTCCAGCTGAGAGTTATATTTGCACCAGCAGAAAAGTTGAATCAAAGGTGACTAACTGCTCTGAGCTCAGCTGTACAGAAAACTTACTTGGATAACAGGTATATTAAAAGCATGGAATCTTTGTGACAATAAAAAAGACATATCTGAGATAAAGCTAATTCTCTGAAAAGCTTGAGAATATGATAAAAAAGATGACATTCCACTCAAATGCTTACTCATGAAAGCACTGTTCCAGTCTAACAAAAAGGTGGGTTTTAAGTTACTCAGAAACAATACTTTATGTGTCTTTAACTTTTAATTAACTCTTTAATTTCTCTAGCAGGCAGGCACTAAGTGACGTACTTTAAAAGTTGTCTCATAGCAATAAAGCAAAGATATGTATGTTTGATTT